TCTAACAGCAATATTTGTTTGGTTTCTGAGACTCTTATAGTATGCCCAACTTTGTGCATTTTTATCCCTTTTGTGTTTTTTGAAAGCCTTGTCACGCAAACAAATCATGGTTTTTATGGTATCAGTCAACCAAGGAGGTTTTTTTTTCTTACAAGTAACGGTTTTATAAGGGCAAACAGTGTCAAATAATGCAACCAATAATTCATTGAAAAATGATATTTTTTGTCAATATCGGCAATAAAAAAATACAGAATCAAACGGTGTCAATAGAAGCAATTCATGTAACCAAGCCACATCTAGCCGTTTAAGGTCTCTAAAAGCAAACGATTTATAATTCTCGGAATGTTGCCTCCTGAACCTACAATATACCAGACAGTGGTCGGTGATATCTGGGTACTTAGTACCAAAATCATAAGGCTCCAGAGAGTCAGCAACTATTATAGCATCAAGCAAGGTCGCCGAGGAAGCGTCAACGCGTGTAGGGGTATTTATAATTTGTTTTAATCCAAAAGATTCCAAGACATCTAAAAATTGCTCAGTAAACTTGTAATTCAAATTTAACAGATCTATGTTTATGTCGCCACCACAAATTAACGTATCGCAGTCAGATATAAAGTTAGACACGCTTTCTTCAAATAAATCAAAAAATGATTCAAAATTTTCTTTTAATTTGCGTGGAGGTCGGTAGAGAACCCCAATTACACAGCTACAAGATTTAGAAACACGCAATCTCAACCATAGTTGCTCTAGGTCTTCGACACAAGAACCACCCAAATATGTGTACTGAAATTTAGTTCTTACATAAATGGCTACACCTCCACCACGTCTATGTCTGTCCATTCTTACAATACTATAGTTGGAAATATGTACAAAACTACTAAGTATATTGCAATCCAATCTAGTTTCAACGACACCAACTATATCATAATTTTCGGTGAGTAAAATATTTCTAAATTCCGAAAAATTGTGTGTTAAAGATCGAATATTAAAAAAAGCAACAGATAAATCATTCAAATTCAGCATTCAACTTATTGTATAGGTATTAAAGGTCGCATACAAACAATTCAATAGATTTTCAAAGCTTACAATAAAATCATTAAAAGGTCCTAATCCTCTTCTATACACACACAACCACAATTTTCACCGTTCTGTCCACCGCACAACAGTATTCAGCTGTACCCTCTATGGCAACGCTTCCAAATTCTTCAAAGTTGTAAAGTCCCGAGCAATAGATGCATACACCGCCATGACGCATCATATTTCTGGCATAGTAGAACACCAAGTTGTAACCACATATCGCAAAAGGTATTTCTTCCCGCGTAAGCCAATGTTCACTAAACATTAGAATCCCTGGCTTGTGAGCTAATCTGTTAATTACAATTTCAGTTTCTGAGATTTTATTCCTTAAGCACTGTATGTTTTGATGCATGACGTAAAGTGACGTGTTCTCTGGCAATTTCGGTTCGGATTTCACTGGTTGCTATATGTAATGAGTTCTAGCTCTGATTCTTTCTTGTGCTCTTTGGTAACAAATACATTTTTTATCAAAAACATTATGTCTATAGTCCACATCCATTTTTAATACCTCACATGCATATCTGCAGTTTGTGCATTCTTCATTTGTCGATTTGCAGTCAGTTGTTTTGTGCTGCCCGTTGCACAATGGACAAACAACATGCTGCTGACGACAGTGGACAGCTTTATGTCCATATTTCCAGCACTTATAGCAACGCATTATATTAATATATTCATATAGGGATAAAGAATCCCAATCAATAAAAACTCTCTTACAATTTATAAAAGAGTTAAAGGCATCAGCTGAAACTTCAACAACAACATTATGCAGTTTTTTTCCATGCGGAAGATATTTCCTAATTATCTTAATTTGGGGATTTTCTATGGAAGAAATACAACTTTGACTTTCTATCTTCTTGACGAAGTTGTCCATTCCATCCTGTAAGTGTGTTTCCCGTACGCCACAAATGACAATTTTCGGATTTGCTGTTTGGGCCACCTGGACTGTATACTCCTCGGCGAGCTCAGCGTTTGCTACGGTTTGCAGTTTTTTCAACGATTCCTCATCGTTGCATTCAATAAGTACACTGCCTTGACCAATTTGTTTACATTTTTTTACTTCAACAGATATATCGGAAGGTTTTATTTTTTGTGCCAATTCATTTTTTGTTGTACTGCTGTTTTGGTTTACATTCTTGGGTTTTATTATAATTGGCGGAAATTTATTGCTTTTAACTGCACTAGAATATAAAAGACTAGTGGTTTCCGCTGCAGAATTACACTCCAGTTTTTCCAGAATTTTGCTTGTATTGTTCTTTGTCTCTTTAGATTGACTTTCCAACACTTCGATTCGTTTAACAATGTCTAATTTCGTTTCTATCAGTGTCACGCACTCATCACAATACCAATAAACATTTCGACACTCACTGAGCAATTTTTGAAATTGATCCTTTAACTGTACACAGTGTAAATGACTACTACAACTGCATAGTTTACACGTAACTAACTTCGTATTAACAATAAAGTTGTCGGAGCAACGAGTACACACGTGTGTACCCGCTGAAGCCATATCGAACACCGAACATTCGATGACGAAATAAAACGAGCAAAACTCTTACACTATGGTGGAAGTGAGCTCCAAGATTTGTTCTACATACTACCTGGCGCGAATGTCGATAAAACCGCCGAAAATAATGTATACAACATTGCAGTTGAAAAATTCAAGGAGTATTTTCTCCCAAAACGAAGCACTGCTTACGAACGACATGTATTCTTTGGACTCTGCCAAAACACTGGGGAACTAGTAGAGCAATTCGCATATCGTTTAAGGAAACAGGCAAGCAAATGTAATTTTACACATGATGTAGATGAGTATATTCGAGACCAAATAACATCAAAAACGAACAATGAAAAGTTACAAGTGTTCATTTTGAAGCATGACGAACTCCCACTTCATGAAGTATTAAGCCATGCGAAAGCACTTGAGGCCATTTCAACACATAAACAAGCATTTCAAAAAGCAACTGAGAACATTTTTAAAATGGAGACTAGCAAGAAAACATTTAAAACCGAATGTTACCGTTGTGGAAAAAATTCGCACCAAGGAACGGACTTAATTTGCCCAGCGCGGAAACAAAAGTGTAACAAATGTAACTTACTGGGTCATTATGCCAACCAGTGTCGTACCAGAAACCCAAAACGCCAACACAGTGGTCCATCATGGGAATACTCAGGCAGCAAGAAGCAGAGATTTAACAATCAAAGACATGAGACCATCCGAGCCATCGATGAAGAAGACAACAATTTATGACTACGAAATGACACCATTCCTTGCGGAGTTGGAGGTATTGTCATCCAGATGTGCATCGACACCGGCTCTAACAAAAACATTATTGGAGATACAACATGGCAATTTTTAAACAAAATGAATGCAGAAATCTCTAACTTCGAACCAAATTCTGACATCATCTTCAAAGCCTATGGATCAAATGCACCTCTACAAGCAATGGGGTATTTCTCAGCGACCCTCAACATCTGTAAGGTTAGCTCTCATGAAAAATTCTATATAATAAAAGGGGGTAAAATATCACTCATCGGGAAGGAAACTGCAATAAAATTAGGTCTTTTGAAACTTAATTCAGCTATTAACAGCATAACCAATGATGGCAAACTAACAAAATTAGCAGCAATAAAGGGTATAGAAGTCGATATACCAATAGACAAAAATATCCAGCCAGTAAGTCAACCACTCAGACGCACACCAATCCCCCTCGAAGAAGCAGTGGATAAAAAGCTAGACGCACTATTGGAAAGTGATGTAATTGAACCTGTCAAAAATCAAACGGGCTGGGTATCCCCCATGGTCATCATCTGCAAACCGAACAAAGATATACGAATATGCATCGACATGCGACGAGCTAATAAAGCAGTGCTTAGAGAAAAATACCCAATGCCCACAATTGAAGACCTACTATCCAAACTCAAGAACTGTACGATTTTCTCTAGTTTGGACATTAAACAAGCATTCCACCAAATAATGATTAAACCCGAATCTCGACACATAACAACCTTCATCACAAGCAGAGGACTATACAGATACAAACGTCTTATGTTTGGTATTTCCTGTGCTCCTGAGATTTTCCAAAAGACAATAGAACAAATACTTAAGGATTGTGATGGATTCTTTGTGTACATCGACGACATCTTAATTTATGCAGAAAACGAAGAACAGCACGATGAAAGGTTAAAATCCATCAGAAACAAGTTATCAGAATACAACGTCGTTTTAAATGAAAATAAATGCAAAATAAGAATGCCTGAAATAGAATTTTTAGGCCACAGGATATCCAGAAGTGGAGTCAAACCAGCCTTGGCAAAAATAGATGCGGTACAACGGTTCAGAAACCCAACATCCGTGGAAGAAGTCCGCAGCTTCTTAGGCCTTATAAATTACGTTTCAAGATTCGTTCCTGACGTAGCCACTAAAACACATCCACTCAGACAAATCATCAAGAATAACAAATTTAGCTGGGAATCACCTCAAGAATCTGCCTTCAGGAACTTAAAAGAAATCCTAACAAACGACTCAGTCCTCGGATTTTATTCTGTGAATGATCCAACATTCGTCATTGCCGATGCAAGTTCAGTTGGTCTTTGAGCCGTATTGTGCCAACAGTCTGCAGATGGCCCCAGAATCATTGCGTATGGACACCGTAGCCTCTCGGAAAGAGAACAAAAATACCATATAACCGAAAAAGAGGCTATGGCACTAGTATGGGCAGTGGAGCACTTCCATAAATATTTATTTGGGAAAACATTCGATCTGATAACTGACCACAAGCCTTTAGAATTTATGTTTTCTCCTAAAAACACCCTCTGTGCAAGAGTCGAACGCTGGATTTTACGCATACAAGCCTATGATTTCAACATAGTTTATAAACCAGGAAAGATGAACATCGCCGATCCTCTATAGCGTCTGCCTATAAATGAAAAAAAATCCATCGGGCCTATTTGAAGACGGCATCGAACATCTAGTTAACCAGATATCTGCCACCACCAACACAAGTACTATTCCTGCTGTAACCATAAACGAAGTAAACGATCAGTCAAAAACCGATGCAGAAATTCAAATGATCAAGAAATGCTTAGACGATGACAAGTTCTGGGAATCTGAAAAAGTAATACAAGCTTACAAACCGTTCAAAACAGAATATTGTTTTCATGAAAATATACTTCTACGGGGCACCAAAATTGTAATGCCAACGGCCTTACGTAGCAAAGTATTGTCACTAAGTCATGAAGGACACCCAGGAAGAGATAATATGAAACGCTTACTACGAGCCTATGCATGGTGGCCAAAAATAGACGTTGATGTCACCGAATATGTAAAACAGTGCCATGGGTGTGCTTTAGTCACCGTAACGAACATACCGGAACCCCTTAAGATGAGAAGTTTCCCTACTACCCCCTGGAATGATATAGCCATCGACTTCTGTGGGCCAATGCCTAATAATATCTACCTGTTAGTAATCATTGACTATTATAGTCGATTCAAAGAAGTGATTGCCATGGAAAAAATCACCTCGAGGATACACAATAGAACAACTTCGGAAGTTGTTTTCTCTCCTAGGACTACCTAAGACTATAACAGCTGATAATGGCCGACAGTTTATCAGCAATGAATTTAAATGTTTTTGTAAGGAACATGGAATTACATTATATTCAACCCCACCATACTGGCCGCAAGCAAATGGACTGGTCGAAAGACAAAACAATTCAATACTAAAAAGGCTCCGCATAAATGCAAGTACCCCAGGAAGTGATTGGCAAAAGGACCTTCACACCCTGCAACTGGCGTCTCTCCAGCGCAACTTCTTTTTGGTCGCGCTACTCGAACAAAAATACCATCCATCGGTGAACAAATAATTCAACACCCAGACCACTGTGAAGTGCATGATAACGACACAAAGTTCAAATCTAAAACAAAAGAATATGCTGACAAAAGGCGACGAGCAAAGACATCGGATATAAACGAAGGAGACACAGTTCTAGTAAGAGCAGAGAGAATGGAAAACAAATTTAGTACACCCTATAAAAATGAACTATACGAGGTGATCAATAAACACCAAGGCGATGTTACCTTAAAATCAAATACAACAGGCAATACAATACGGCAAAACATCGCACATTTAGAACTCTACGCTCCCAAGTTATTGACGTCCCCCACCAGTGAAGAAGATGCCCAAGACGAAAGAATTTCTCCACATCCACCAACATCGTCCAACAGTGAAGAAGAAGCCCAAAATGAAAGCACTTCCCCACAAGGTCTACCTCTACCAAAGCTAAAGATTAAACTTGGCCCAGAACCTTCATGCACGCTGATGGATCAATAAATCTCGAAAGCAAAGGAGAGGATGTAGCAGTATCATAGATGATACTGGGAACAGCGGCAACGCCGCGATCACCGGCGAGTTCGGGGGGATCAGCTGACGTGCCGGCGATCGATAGTTAGTAGAAATAAGAAACTTGTTTTTGAATGTTTAATATTTTGTTATTGTATTAAGTTAATTAATTGTTCATTATATTTGTTTAAACTCGACTTGTGAAGATTCATTTCTACATGTATCTCCACCATTTCATAAAATTCTCTCTTTTTTTGGTGATTTTCTGTTTTTAAAATTTTAGTTTTATTAAAATCGAATGTATGATTTTCTGTTGACACATGATTTGTGAGGGCGGTTACATTTTTTTATCATACTTGTGCCCTTTCAGTCTATTTTCTAACCATTGAGAAGTTTGTCCTATGTAAACTTGGGCGCAGTTCGAACATGGAATTTCATATATAACATTGCTTCGTTTGTTTAACGGTGTTACAGATTTTAGTTTAGAGAAATTATTAGCTAACAAGTTATGTGCTTTATAACAAATCGTTATATTATACTTTTTATGTAACCCTTGTAATTGTTGAGACAACCCATTTACGAAGGGGAGCGCAATATATCGTGTATCTTTTTTAATGTTTTTATTTTCTATTTGATTTTGATTGTTTTTTGTGTTTAAGAATTTTTGGAGTCTATCTTTGAATATTTTGTTTATTAGTTTTTGTAGATGGTTATTTTCTTTTAATGCATTTTTTGCTTTTTTTATTGCAGCATCTCTATATTCTGGGTCGGATAGACCAAAAGAAAAAATTAGGTATATAGAAGAAAAATTTAATGCCTATAATAAACATATTCAATTTACGTCAGAAATAGAGAACGATAAAAAAATTAACTTCTTAGATATTACTTTACATCATACCAATCAAACCATAAAAACCGAATGGTATACAAAGAAAACTTGGTCCTCAAGATATCTCAATTTTTATCTAACCATCCAGCTAACCAAAAGATCGGTGATAATTGGCTTGGCGGACAGATTAATTCGTCTATCCGACCAGAATATAGAGATGCTGCAATAAAAAAAGCAAAAAATGCATTAAAAGAAAATAACCATCCACAAAAACTAATAAACAAAATATTCAAAGATAGACTCCAAAAATTCTTAAACACAAAAAACAATCAAAATCAAATAGAAAATAAAAAGATTAAAAAAGATATACGATATATTGCGCTCCCCTTCGTAAATGGGTTGTCTCAACAATTACAAGGGTTACATAAAAAGTATAATATAACGATTTGTTATAAAGCACATAACTTGTTAGCTAATAATTTCTCTAAACTAAAATCTGTAACACCGTTAAACAAACGAAGCAATGTTATATATGAAATTCCATGTTCGAACTGCGCCCAAGTTTACATAGGACAAACTTCTCAATGGTTAGAAAATAGACTGAAAGGGCACAAGTATTATAAAAAAATGTAACCGCCCTCACAAATCATGTGTCAACAGAAAATCATACATTCGATTTTAATAAAACTAAAATTTTAAAAACAGAAAATCACCAAAAAAAGAGAGAATTTTATGAAATGGTGGAGATACAAAAAAACAAAAACGCGGTAAATGATAAAAAAAGACCTAAAAATCTAAGCAAAATATATCTGTCGATCCTCTAACGCACTAAGAACAGTAGACATCGGGTATTGAAACGATAAATACGTACGTGCTCTATAGTAAAGTGTAATGTCCAAAAACAATTAAAAACAATAGTAATATGTGTTATTGTGTTGTCCAGTTTAACAAATTTTAACTCTGTAAGAATCTACGTTCAAGGTAAGACCTTTTAGTTTGACATTCTATCTTATTGATTTTAACTGACTGTTTTTATGTACTTAAAGAGGCTTGAAAAAGACATATACTGTCGAAACGTCGTCACAAAATAAAAAAATAATGAACAAAATCTAGAAACATCTTTGCAACCCCAACGACCTAAAGCCAAGAGTGAAAACAAAAAAATATATAGTATACAGGTCAAAGAAACGAAACAAAAAATTTTGATAAATATTGATACAGGGTGTGTTATTAAAATAAGACATTTTTATTTTTATTATTATTTTTTTAAGTACTTACGATGCCACTGGATAAACAACTGGTTTATTATCAATAACCATTTATATCCAATTATCAATTAATAATCGATTTAAGTTTTCAGATAGCTTCCATAATAATTAGGATACGATACAAAAAAGAAAATAAAATTTTCAATTTATTTTTTTTTATTTAAAAATTTTTTTTAGTTTATATATATAATATATATATATATATATAATATATATAATATATATATATATATATATAATATATATATATATATATATATATATATATATATATATATATATATATATATATATATATATATATATATATATATATATATATATTTAAAAGTTTTATAAGTTTGCTAATACAAATGAATAAAGTGAGTTACAAAATAATTTAAAAACCCAGTTTTTAATGGAATCTGAAATATAATTTTCATTCGTTTTATTGAGGAATATTTTAAAAATATTCGAAATAGTTATTTAAAACAATCACTATTAACTTGAAAAATATGCTCTAAACAAAGATTTATAAAACTATAACGAACTAAAAGTCAACATCTTCGACAAAACCACCAAAATTTCTAATGCATGTTTAAATGCAACAACCAGGAACAGAGTATAATCTCCCGATTTCTTTCTATCAAAAATAAAGTTTATTAAACCCGTCCACGAACATTAGAAGAATTGAAAACTCGAATAAGACAAGAATGTGAACAAATTTCTAGACAAGAATTACGAAAAGTTTGCTTAAGAAATAGGAAAATTTATGAAAAATGCATTAGAAATTATGGTGGTTTGGTCGAAGATGTTGACTTTTAGTTCGTTATAGTTTTATAAATCTTTGTTTAGAGCAAATTTTTCAAAGTTAATAGTGATCGTTTTAAATATCTAATTATTTGGATTTTTTGAAATATTCCTCATTAAATTAAAACGAAAAAAATTAAAACGAATAAAAATCATATTTTAGATTCCATTGAAAACTGGGGTTTTAAATTATTTTGTAACTCATTTTATTCATTGGTATTAGCAAACTTAAAAAACAATTTTTTAAAGTAAACAAAATAAATTGAAAATATTTAGTTTTTTTGTGTATCGTATCTTATGATTATTATTATGGAAGCTATCTGAAAACTTAAATCGATTAATTGATAATTGAATATAATTGGTTATTGATAATAAACCAGTTGTTTATCCAGTGGCGTCGTAAGTACTTAAAAATAATAATAAAAATAAAAATGTTTTATTATTTATCAAAATTAGAACTTAAGTATCTTGGGTAAGGAGGATTCAATATAATTTATCAGATTTGAAATAAATACTGTCCTAAGGGTAGTTTACACTTAACTCGAAAAATATCGAACCCCATTAAAACGTACGTCTATGAGGTTTTTTTACCCTGGGCTAAATGTACGTCTTATGGCCATACAGCCTCCTGCCAAGAATGAAAAAGATCGCCCAACAAACAACCAAGATATTGGCTTGTATCCATCTTAAGTGGGACACCCTGTATATGTATACTATTATATTAAAGAATATACGAATTATAATAGCAACAGAACAATAATTAGCACAGAAATAATGTAGAAAATTTTCATTTATAAAACAAAACAAAAATATCGACATAAAATCGTATTTACTAAGAAGTGGGTCCCAGGTAGGACAATTTACTGCGTCCGCAAGGGCCTACTGTGGTTTATTTCTACAAACTTTAAAATTTAATATTCACCCTCAAGACCCAACCTTTTAATATAGGTTGTTACAGGTAGGATGATAGGTTACCAATATCTGATAAATCTAGCATGGTTTTTCCAAATAATTGTAACCTGGTCCTGCTCCCAGCGGGACAGGTACACATATCGTGCTTTATTGTTTTATCACCTTGCATACAGAGTAGGCATTGGTATCTTTCATCAGCCCCGTCCTCTGCAGGTGTGATCTCAGCTCGTACTGGTATCGACATGTGAAAAATATTACACATTTTTATTTATACTTTCTATTATACGTATTATTTTTCATAAAAAAAATGTAAATTATATGTATATTTTTTATTTTGTTTTATTAGTTTTCTTGTTTTCTTTCTAAAATATATTTTATTAATAAATTATTAATGAAGTATAGGTATTCCGTTTTCTAATATGTCGGTTTTATTTAGAAAA